CCAGCTGATGGTACATCAACCTGGGAGTCTGAATCACTCGCTGATCCAAATCCTACATGAGTGAAGGCAACCTTTCCCTTTCTGCCACCACGAGGGAAGGCTCCTTTCTTCTGTCACAAGAAGGGCCCTTAACATCAAGTTTTGCCTCCATGTCCAAGGTTGCAGGGCCAAAGGATCTCCAATCCTTGTGCCCAGCACTGTACAAAGCAACAACAAACTTCTCAGGCGCAGCCCTACAAAAGTTCGTCAACAGATCATCTGTTGACATGACCAACCCAGGGGTAGAGGTCAACTGCTCGAACTCTGCAAACAAGGACTGCAGTGTCCCAATATAACACTGCTGCCCCAGGCGAGCAATCCTGTCACCAGCTTTGTGGGCCCGCTCCTTGTCTGCAAAGCGGTCCTCTAGGGCCTGCAGAAGTCTGTCCACCCCCAACCCAAAAGCCTAGTCCTCCAGACGTTGCTCCAGACTGCTGGAGGTTGAGGTGGCCCACTGTAGAGCGGGTCCCTCCAGTAGTCCCAGCACCGTTGCAACCTTGGTCTGCTCCGCACATGTGAAGCCTCTCAAGTAGGCTTTGGTACCAGCAGCCCAGTCCCCAACATCGACCTTCGGGTCATCCCCTTTGAACTTGTTGGGGGCTGGGATCTTAGGTCCCCTTTGATCACGTGCAGGGACAGATTCAAGCGTTGGGCGGCTTGTGGCTTTGTGGGAGGAATGTGGTGAAGGGGAAGAATGATGTGAACCAGAGGGAGATGAAGTAAGAGAAGGAGAAGGTTTTACTTTGGGTACAGGAGGCTGAGGAGTAATCAGCTCGGCTGTTGTCAGCTCAGCAATCAGAGCCTGCACCGCATCTAGTAGCTTTGACTGATGAGCCGCCATGTCATCAACTCTGCGCTCCAGACGGCCCATGCGATCATCCCAGTCGGTGAAATAGGAACTGGTGGCTTTGTGTTCCCAAACGGCCCACTCCGCCAAGTTCCTAGTCACCTGGGTGCAGCGCTCATCTGATATCGTTTTGTTCAGCTGTTCCAATAGATACTCACTGCGTGAGGCATCTGTTGCAGCCTCCATCTCGGCCGCCTCCTATCTCTCAAGTTCTGCAAGCAGCGCCTGCTCCTGCTGCAGTCTTTCCCGTAACTCCTGTTGAGTAGCACTCAAGGGTGTGGTAGAGGGGGAGTTTTTATCTTCACTTCTACTTCTCCCTGTGGCTGTTGCTGAGCACCCTGATTCGCCATTTTCCACTCTCAGGTTAACAATAGTTAGTAGACAAACAGGAGAGTATGCAACGATATTCAATTTCCTTCAGACCCTCAGAAATCGCTGCTCTCTCTCTCACAGAGGTAGGTGGGTGAATGGGCAACAAACGATTGGGGTTGGAACTGTCTCTCTAGAGGTCAGCGGTCAGATAGACATACAGTCCAGAAAAATCGATCACACGATTTCCTTTTACTGACCCTGCATCTCAACTGGAGTTAGTACAAACAATTCCAGTGATTCCAAAGATATCATAGAATTCCAGAGCCCACTAGAAAACAAGAGAATACAGTGGGAAAGAGAAAGAGCGGTAAGTACAAACAATCCCAGACCAACAAGATGTACGATGTAGTCCATAACCTTCAATCCTACCAGAGACTCAAATTTTGCCACTGTTGACTCTGACAGCCATACCCAGAGGTATGGCGATTTACATTATTCACTGTAATTACCCAAATATTGATTATATGGTCAAGCGCTTCTGTACAGATGACAACAACAGAGTTGCGATTTACTACAGACTGACAAAATTGAATTCTGACGGACAGAATTGTAGTTGCAACTAACCCTAGATAGCCCAGGCTATAATTCGACTCGGCGCAAAATTACAATCCACAGTATCACTACCTTTCCAGTACAGAATTCATATTCTGAGCATACAGGATTCAGTGCAATACTGTCATGCGGTCCCAGAACACATTTGAGACAAAGAGAGTCAGCAAAAGGGGAGATACGAGAAAATGAAGATAGGGAGAAGATGGCTATGGCTGCCATGCAGTCTGACAAAACTAAATTTGGACTCTAGCAGACAGATAGACCATCAATTCTGACTATACTGACACTTAATACTTCGCTATACAGAGATCTGTGTGGAACGTAATCACTTTCAGTGTAGTATTCAGAAGATGATGAAGATCTGGCTCTGGCAGACTGAAACTCTCATCTCGCTAGTTGCTTCCATAAATTCCTCCTCGAATCTCCACGTACAGAACCTCCTCAAACTTGTTGATCTTGCTCAGGATACTGAGGCGTTTCAATCCCACTTACAAGATTCACTGAATCTAGTCCAGTGGCGATCTAACAGTCAACTGGAGATTTCTCGTCACTGACCCAGTTAGCCGCTAATGCTATAATTAGCCCCAGTTGGGGTCAACTCTGCATGAGATTGACTCTAGCAGTCAATCTAGCTCAGCGCTCCTCAGGGATGATGTCGCCACCTAGTTATCCTCAGTGTTCAGGGGTAATTCACCACTCTGAAGCAAATCGCTCATCTGCAGTCAGGGTTGACTTTGGCGAAGTAGCCCTGTACTCGCCACTTTTGACAAGCGCTCTGGCAAGGACAGTGCGCTTGGTCAATCCAAACACTGTACACTTGAATTCGTTGTCTGCAAATCTTCTTCTCCTCTGCTTCGGCCCTGAAGAAGATGAACCACCATGGAACTCCCTTCAGAAGATCTTCAGAAGATCTTCAGAAGAAGAAGATGCCCTTGTTGCGCTCAACCCCGCTTCGATACCAGCTATTATGAACTTCGTTGTCTGACGATTTTCACCGCCACTCACACACAGACAACCTCATACACGCCCATACATGCATAAGACGAGGGGGAGAGGAGACAAAGTCCAGACTGCACACAGATCAAAGTAGGCAGCGAAACACAACCATGCACATATGGGGTGAGACACACAGTATTTCTCACTCTCTGACAATACTCCCAACAACCAATCACAAGAAGACACCTGCGAGGATAACATAGGATTTACACTTATGATGCGCCAACTCGAACCAATTATCGTTACAGAGTTTGTTTCAGTTATCTCGCCACCCTCCAAACTCCACACTCCACTTTCTACCCTACACCCAGTTAGTAGCGCAACACTGAGAAGGCCTCCCAGAGGCCAGCGCCAACCGCCCATATGAAGAACAGGTCCTGGGATGAAGTCTTCACTGTCGATGAACAACTCTGACGACGAAACAGGCAGCTATGGCTGCTGCACCATTCACCCAGCCCTAATATCTCCAGATGCGCGATGGGCGACAATGGTCCACCCACGAGTACCCAGTGAAGAGCCTCGGTCTAGCCCAGCCAGATGCAGATACCCCCAGGGGTAGATGCATTGTGAATGCCCCAGCTATGGCAACCTCCACAAGGCTGGGTATGGCTGCCGTCCATGGCGAGGGTCCCAGGATGCCGCCTGTAGACAATCACCACCACCAACTTGCTTGGCTCACCACGCTGCATCCCGAAAATGAAAAGCCAAAAGTCCCTAAACTACAGGCTCAGTCCTATTAATAGACTAGCCTACTCTAGACCTCGACCAACTGGACCGGTACCGCATCAGTTTGGCCTGCTCGGCCTGGGCCCTACCCGGCTATACGTTATCTAGACCGTCTCTACAGCCCATAGCCCAGATGGGCCTACTGTCCTAGTGATTGCCCGGGTCTGCTAAGGGCAGTAACGGCTAAGAGGAACTCGGGAAAACGTCTGTGTAAATTGCAGATATGTCCCTCATGAATTTCCCTCAGGACTGGACCGGCGGTTAGTCCCTGACACAAACAAAATTACAAATCTGACCCTAAGACGCAACTATACAACCTCGCAGTGATATCTCGGCAGCACAAATCAGCAAGTCATTGCATTGGAGCGAAGAATGAGGACAAGAAAGACGATGATGTTGCAGCCTCGACGAGGAACAAATGCCTTGATCTGGGAATATTGCGACTAACATTGTGACTATTGCTATGGGACTCTTGTGACTCCGCGAACATTATGACTACTGCAACTATTACAACTATTGCAACTCGGTGAACATTGTGATTACTGCAACTGTTTAGACTACCAGTACATCTGGAGAATTTGAATGAGCATCTCCCAAAAGTTGGCGGACTCAGGACGGGGCCCGCCTTGGGGTGGGTGGATTTTGTTTTTGTTCAAGGCTGGGCCTAGTGCAACCCCATGGCATCGGACAATTTTTCTTCCTACTGGCCCTTCGAAAGCCCTGTCCCGAGCCTCCAAAATTTTACGAGAGGCTCAATCGGATTCTCAACTTAGCTGGGGCCATGTACTGGTGGTTTAGGTCCTTTAGGACTATTGCAACTATTTTTTGGATTCTGTGAACATTGTAAAATGATCCAAGTTCTCACCAAGCTCAACCTCGCAACCATGCCATGAACATTCACATGAGAGTTCACACGTGATAAACCTAAGGACAGATACAATCAGAACACATGGAAGCCGCCACCAAATTATTATCATTATACAAGAAAATGTTTATGTAGCCAGCGGAACTGCCGCACACACACAATCAGAACTGATCTCAATCCGGTTTGCGGCTATGGCTCCCCTTTCCTTCTCTACCCTCTGTCTTGGATCTCTCTCTCTCTCTCTCTCTCTCTCTCTCTCTCTCTCTCTCTCTCTCTCTCTCTCTCTCTCTCTCTCTCTCTCT